ACCAGCTTGGGTGCTTGGTGCCTGGAGCCGGCCCTGGACCGGACTGTGGCTCCACCTCCCAACCACTCCTGTCGGGTGGCTAGCCAGAAGCAGCTGTTATACTCAGGGGAACACAAGGACTGTTGCTCCTTGAGCTTTCTTCCATCCCTATTCATCTGCACAGGAGCTGTCCCTGTTCTGAAAGAAGGTAAATCTTTGCTGTATTATGTGGGCTCAAACAAAGTATTGAAACAGCATTGCTTAAAAAAATACTGTTTCTGAAATCCAAGAAATCAATGCTATATCTGATTTGTCTGTCCAGTATAATGAAAGGCTTTGGTGAAAAGTAGCTGATAAAGTTAGGATTCTGGTAAATTACAAAGTGAATATTTATAATCTCTCTTTCTCTCTCCTGCTCTATGTTAGAAAGATATTGATATACATATGTATCATTATTGAAAGTGAAGACAACTAGCTTATGTTTGATACAGTGGAGAAGGGGAGCCAGTGGAGGAATGCATAGAAAGGGCTGACATGGGCAAAGTGAGAGGCTATGAAAATGCCCTTTGTAGCAGCAGCAGCAGCATTCTGAATGGATAGGAGTGGAACAAGACTGCACTTGTCAATGCCAGAAGAATGGAGGTTGCAGTAATCAAGATGATGAGCGTTTTAGCTGTGGGGATGGATAGGAAAGGCTGTGTCTTAGAGAGGTTATGCAGAAAGAATCTGCAAGATTTAGATACTGCCTGGGTATGAAAACTGAGAGAGAGGTCTGAGCTGAAGATGATGCCTAGGTTATGGGCCTGAGTGACAAGCGGAATAATGATATTGTCCACAATGGTTGAGAAAGGAGGTGTGAGGCAAGGGCTTGGGGGGAGGCTCTGTTTTAGCTATATTGAGCTTGTGCTGCCAACTAGACATCCATGAAGAGTAGTTGAGAAGTTTGCCTTTTGAGCTGTGCAGCTTTTGTTTATTTTGGTTGTTTCATCTCCTCAACTCAAATCAATTTCAGTTTATTTACTGAATTTCCAGCATGCCTGCTCAGGGTTCAGGACTCTCTATTTATCTCCTAAACACTGTGTTTCAGGGACCTTATGCCTGAGTAGGCGGGCTGAAAATTTAGTAAATGGGATGAAGAAGCGTGACACAGAGATTGCTTGGCAAAGGGATCCCTGATCTTTGCAGACAACTCTCACCTCAGACCTGACAAACTCATCGCACCAAACAGGTCTTGCAGGATACTTAGCCATAAAGAGTAATGTGTAAGGGATCTACAGAAAGCTCATAACTTGTCAACATTCATAACCACTGTGAGATGTATGTACAGGTAATGTTTAAGGAATAATGTATGTATTCAAATGAACATGGGCTTTATGGACTTGGAGTAAAAAGTAAAGATTAGTCATCAGGATGTCTCAGTAATGGCCTATTTGGGCAAGGGGGAGTTGTCACACTGTCCTGTCTGGCCGATGTTTAGCCGGTGTTTAGCTTGTGCAATACTATGATTTTGAATGGGAAACCATCAGCAGGAATGACAGTCAAAACCACTTAAAGGTAAAAAAGAAACTTTACATCAAGACAGGGATTCACCCTATCTATGAATAGAAACAAAAGACTGTTTTCAGTGTAACAGAGTGAGGGGAAGGACACTCCATTCACTGAGGAAACCCCTTGAGGAGCGGTGGGGCCAGGGCCGGCTTTAGGCCAATTCCCCCGATTCCCCGGAATCGGGCCCCACGCCTAAGAAGGCCCCGTGCCTTAGGCGCCTTTTTAATTTTTTTTACTTACCCGGCGGTGGTCCGGGTCTTCGGCAGCACTTCAGCGGTGGGCGGGTCCTTCACTCGCTCCGGGTCTTCGGCAGCATTTCGGCGGCAGGGGGTCCACGGAAGACCCGGAGCGAGGGAAGGACCCCCCCGCTGCCGAAGTGCCGCCGAAGACCTGGACCGCTGCTGGGTATTCGAATCGGGCCCCACAGTTCCTAAAGCCGGCCCTGGGTGGGGCAGGAGGCACATTCATGAATGCTTGAATCCTGGTTTGTCCGAAACCAGACAGTTCTTCAAAAGATTGATCCTTTGGGGGAAAATCTACTTTATTGCATAGGAAAGGTAACTATTAATAAGTGTGTCACTCAGGTTCACATTTTATGTTGGTTTTTTTTTGCATTGTAATCACTTGTTTCCACCACTCTCTTGTTTCTAGTTAAATCTTTATTCTTTCTTAAATAAACCTACTTTTGTTTGATCTTAAGTGCTCACAAGTGCTGTGTGGTTTACAGGAGTGGTGGTTAGAGATAAAAATTGTAAATTGATATACACTGCACCTTTGGATGCAGAGGATCTGGAATTTCTGTGAGTAGCCAGTGTCAGGGACTAGATATCACTGTGAAACAATTCAAGGGGGGGGTTGGGGATTGAGGTGCACCGATTGTTAACCTGCAAGGTGAAGGAAGGGTTGGCATAAGCCCAGAGAAAAGTGCTTGAGTGGCTGAAGGACTGGCAGTGTCACGGAGCTGACATCCAGCTACCACAAGAAAAACTCCCTCTAGCTGGGGGCAAAGGGGGTAACAAGGTGACTCACAGTCCTGAATACCCCGAGAACCGTCACAAGAAGGTTGAGGATAAGGTGCCCAGTGTAACTTTTTTGAAGTCTGTTAGGTTACACTGGGGTGACTTTGATTCAGGGGTCGAAACTTCAGGAAGAAATAAGAATGATGAAGAAATGAAAGCAAGAGAACCTCTCAATAACCTCTTAATTAGTCAGTATGCAAACAAACTCCTCGTTAGCGCATATTAAGCCCTAATTGTTTGCTGCAATATAGTCGTTCTGACAACATCAGCAATGGTCATTTTATAGTCTTTTCATTTTTAATAAAAATTAAAGTTACATTTGGTTCCCATAAGTAGATGATCCTATTCAAATGAGGATGGTTATGGAATGTGGTTTTGGGCAGATGAATCCTGCAGCTTAGGAATGTTACGATGTGCAGTATCAAACAGCAGAGAACTTTAGTTTTTCTGTTCACATGCTAAGAGGCAAATCCTGCCTTAGATTCCAAGCTGCAGAAGGTCCCCTGGCAGCAGCAGTGGTGCAGTTCCACTGTGCCAACGGGTGTGTGTGTATGTGTGTGTGTGTGTGTGAAGATTTCAGTGGGCACTGCAGGTGATGTTCGCATTGCTCAGCTTCACAGTGGCTCCCAGCATGCCAATGTGAAAGAAAGGGAGGGGACAGTGTATGGGTGAGTCCAAGATTCTAGTTCTGTGTGGGTGTTTGGGTGGCAGTAGCTTCTGTGGACTAGCTCTGTGGACCGGAAAGAGGAAAATTACTCCAGACTGCATCTGTCCAGCTCCTGAGCTGGTTACTCTGGCAGGGCACTGAATTTGCCCTTAAGTGTTTTCTTTCCCAAGCACCCCTTCTTTGGAGGAAGATGAAGTTACATCTAACATCATGCCCTGTGGGAAGGAAGCAAGAGATCTTGGGGGAAATTGCTTATGGTGGATTTTTCCCCTCTTAAATCCAAAATGAAATAAAATTTGTGAGCAAATTCCTCCTTCAAATACATTTTACTATGAAGCTTTTCAACACTAATTCTCCAGGGGAATATGAAATTAAGGGGAGGGAGTGGGGCGGAAGAGAGAGAGAGAGAAGCTGTCTTTACCATTTTGAGACCGCACCTTCCAATCCCTCATTATCCACAGTACTTTGTGTCTCAACTCTATTGTCTTATAAGTCTGTGTAGCTCCTTATGGAAGGGACCATGTCTTCCTCTATATTTCTAAACCAATTATATTGTCTATACTCTTCTCCTTAAAAACTAAACAAGAGTGAGACTAAAAACTGCAACTGTTCTCTTTAATTTTCCTGCATAAAAAACCTACGAACGTGGGTGAATTAGACTGACATCCACCACCCAGTGCATACTGAAAATGTAAAAAAGTGTTTATGATTTATTTGCTACCTAATTTGTAACAAAGCAAGGCTATAGAATTATGTAATATGCATTTCATCCTCAGAAAAGCCTACTCTATAAATGGTAGCTAAATAAAAGCTCTGCCAATACAGTTATAAGAAATCCATCATAATCAATCTTCTAAAAATTATTTGTCCAGTCTGAGAATTAAAAGATGTACTTAATAAATTATTTGAGAAAGGATTGTCTTTAACCATGCACTGTAGAATTTTAACCCAAATAATGATATGTAATTCTGTAATTCTTAAACAGTTCCAAAAGAAGTGTGTATACAATGTTCAAGAGGTAGAAACACACTAAAATAAAGGTGTTTTTACTGAGGTTTTGGCATGCCATCTGGTCTAATTTGTCTTGATGCTTTATTCAGTACAATATCAGCTTTCGAGAAAATGTAAATGACTAGATGACCACTTTAAAAAGAGAACCCATAAAATAGGAGTTAATTATATATGGAAAAATCACACGCTGCTTTTAAGTTTGCCTACTTAAGAAAATATCCAGTATCAAAGTATATTCAAGCCTAGATGAGTCCAGAAGTGAATTAATTTACTCCATGAATGCAAACTAGAAATTATTGTGATAAAAGTGATAAAGAAATATAGTGATGGCAAAATATGGAAATAACTTTGCCAATATTGTATGTTGTGATTTTATAATAGACATAATGACATAATGTCATTAATAACATAACCATACAATGGATTTTAATTAAATCAAGTGGAAAAAGACCCTCGTGGATACTCCCTACCCCCCAAATTAAGTTTTTTGACAGTCATGATTAATGGTAACACACATACTTCATGGTTTGTAAACCTGAAACGTACTTATACATTACAGTCCCATTGCCTGCTGCCAGGTGAATGTATGGTTAGTCAGCAACAGTGAAATCCAGTGCACAAGAGGTTGTTTTTACATGTTTTACATGTTTTCTAGAAAGGTGACATCTAAAAAAGTAAACAGGTACTAAAGTAGGAATTCTACTATCTAAACTTTCTCTTTCCTTCTTTAGGGTAAATTTAATGAAATAATAACAGAACAATTAAAGAGTTCCTACCCGCAAAATTTCTTCAATACAGCTGTTATCTCCTGTTCCACTCTCCTGTAAACAAAGAGAAAAATACTTTTAAAGAAAGAAATAACAAATGGCCGGTTTGAGGATATGTGGCTACGTGAGATATACTCAAGTCTTGGGTACATTTTCAAGTCAATGTCAATTGTTTCTAGCATCAGAATACTGGTGGTGTGTTAAAGCAGGAAATAAACTCAAAAATTATCTGTATGAAAATACAATTTTTAAACATGTTTATTCTTTAAATGAGTGACCACAATATATTTTTATTTAATCTATAAGATTCTGGTTACATTTACTTTAGGTGTGGTTCATTTCACTTTGAGTATATATTATACAGATAGGTAAAATATTTACCGTATATACACAGACCTAATATATTTAGTAAGGATTTATTTACAATAAATTAACAACAACAGACTGGCTCCTTTTTGTAGGTAAAACTTCCATTGGTTGCCCAGGGTAGTTTTGTTTCCATAGGATTAGGCCCATTATTGACTATAGAAACTTTCATGGAATCAAGTGTTTAAACTGGAGCTGTGTTCAATGGGTAAATCAGAGGTCTAACAGGACCACTCAGGGTATGTCTACAGTGCAATGTAAGCCCACGGCTAGTTCAACTTGAGTTAACAGACCCTGGGTTTGTAACCGAGGGCATGAGCATCTACACTCATTTGTAACCCCTGGTTAGGAACTGTTGAACCGTGGATCCCAACCTGGGACTCCAGTGTCTACACTGCATTATGCAGACCCGAGTGCAACGATCCATATTCCAGACTTTCTAGTGCCCTCCCCAAAAGTGGTTGTTTTAGCCCTTTGTTCATAGTACAATGTGAGAAAACTTGACTGTCCACCAAACGTGACTTTCCAGAGGACAAAGAAAGTCAGACCATGGGATTGTGGGATACTTTTGGCGGACTCCCAGGGTATGAGTTCAGTGGGACTGAGTCTACACTGCAAAGCAATAGGGCTTGAACCATGGGTCCCGGCTTGACTCAGGCTGGGATCCTCCACCCTTGTGGGGTACTGGGACCCTGGGTCTGAGCCCTGGATAAGCACAATTTGTGTGTAGATGGAAAGGGGGTTAGGCTTGAACCTGAGTTTGAACCCTGGGCTTACACTGCAGCATAGACTTAACCATAGTGAACACTTTACTCACCATTGTGAGGAGTTACCTATACAGTCAGTGGCGGATTAGCCACTGGGCTAATGGGGCCCATGCCCAGGGGCCCTGGCAAATTTGGGGGGCCTGGAAAAATGGGCATGCCCCAACCCACTCTGCCCACCAGGCACTCCTGCCGGGGAGCGGGATCGAGGCACAGGGGCTTGCCCCACTCCACCTGCCAGCACAGAGTCAGGGCATGGGGGCTTGTCCCGCTCTGCCCACCCGGCGCTCCTGCTGGGGAGCGGGGGAAGCTCCAGCGCCTGACCCCACTCCCCGGCAGGAGCACCAGGCGGGGGTGTAGAGGGAACTGCAGACAGAAGGAGTGGGGAGGGGCCTCCCACTTGCTCTGGCCCAAGGCCCCACAAACCCCTAATCCACCTCTGTATACAGGTCCTTACGCCCATCCCTATTCAGCAAAACATTCAAGTACATGTTTAACTTTAAGCATGTGCCTAAGATTCACTGAAACCAGCAGAGAATGAGGTGCAGTGGAATCTCACTCAGCTATCCCCATCCCCTCCCCTGACCCAACTCCATGGCTCCCATCTCTGCCTCAACATATCCTCTTCCTTCCTTATGCTGTGCAGTGCAATTCTGCTAAAGCAGGCAGCATGGACGAGTGGGGAAGCAGGTGTAGGAGGCAGTCTAGCTGCCTCTGCCAGCTTTACAGGGGGAACTTTCCGGGGGAGTGTCTCTAAACATTTAAATTCACTTTACACTGCAGAATCCACTAGGTGAAATGATTTCTGCTTATGCAGAACACAGTGAACTTAGCAGATGGGAGAATCTGGCCCTGACTCTTAACAGTGGGAGAAAAAATAAATTTGTATTTATTGTTATTATTAAGAATTCCTTTTGAAGTGAAATAGGAATTTTGGCCCAAATCTTTGAAGGTGATTAGTGATTCTGGATGCCTAAATGTTCAGGTGTCCAATTTGAGATACATGCCTGATCTTCTGAAGTGAAAATCAGATCCCTCTAAAGTGTCTCAATTTAGGCACCTAAAACCACTAGCCACTTTTTAAAATTTATGCTTTTCATACTTACATGGTATAGTTAGCCAAATACTGTTTGCCCTACTCCTGTATGTTAATACATGGTTCTCCCGGAAGACCATGCTATGTGCAGATCTTAATACAATAACCATGATAGTGTGCTTCCTGGCAGAGTGGAGGGAGGGTTTGAATTCATATGCTCTGGAAGTCTAAGGGGGTAGCAAAGTCAGAATTAAGGCAGCCATATACAAGCAGAGAATAATTTATGTTTCATAATTTTTTGTGGCTGTTATTTCATGCCAAGTTATGGGAGCTCATGAGTCTTTTATTGTCAGCACTCCTGAAAATTTTTGCTGAATATGGCCCTTGGTTATTAAATAAATGAATTGTCTTTAACTCTTTTGCTGTAATACAGTTTGTCATCTTAAAAGTCAATAGGAGTTATGCCATTGACTTCAACAGAAGAAGAATGGGGTGCAACATAAAGCGCCTTTCAAGAATTATTCCTATTTGACAAATCACCGGTTAAAAGTAACTACAGTCAATTGCAAATAGCCCTATTCTGAACTCATCATTGCAACAGATGAATCAAAGAATATAATATGTTGCTTTTGCTGTTACTGGAGTAACAATACAACAGACGCTGCTAATAAAGTTAACACTAACAAGAAAAAACACACACAAAGAAAAATCACAAAATTCTTTGGACTTTCTTCTTCCCCCTCATTAGCTGATTTATTTTTCTCCTCTCCATGGATTCCCCCTTCCCCAAAAACCCTGTTCTATGCTTAATTATCACACCAACATCATTAACAGTTGAGCACACAAAGCCCTATTGGCATAGCACATGCTTTGTTTGCAGAGCAGCAAATCTGCTGCCCCACCAAAAAACTACAATTCGTATCTGCTCTCACTTTACAAAAGAAGGCATAAGATGTCATCTTCTTGCATAATATGATGTCCCCAGATGCTGCATTATTGGTTAAGATCAAAACACTAAAGGTGAATAGATGAGATTTGCTTATACCTCGATTCAGAAAGTATCTGTTTTGTGTTTTAAAATTAAATCTCTCTCCTCCAAGTGTAATCAAGTACATTTGAAAATATTCACGGGTAACAGATTGGTCCTTTCTACCACCATGGAACTAAGCCAAAAATATTGTCCCCTGGCCCATTACACTTCAAGGCAGAAAATAAAAACCCTTTCCTCCCCACAGTTATATCTTGATCCAAGTGATCTGATAGCCTTCCAACAGGTGATAATGAAACAGAAACACAAAGCCCAGGCAAACAGAAGCAAACATTATTTGAAAAAAATCTTCTGTGTCCCCTTTTCTCTTCATCTTCTGAACACTGCTGTCCCATGGTCTTGCCCTATTAGTACCATACAACACCGCTGATACAAGTGTATCTAGAAGTTCACATTGCATTACATTTTTTTCCACTTTGCAAAATGGCACTGACATCCACAAGTCTCTGAGCTCAGCATGATGAATTTAACTTTGCAACAATATTTTAGTAAAAATTTTACATGGTGGTAAATTCCACCTACAATTTGCATCAAGAGGCGATCTGTTGGAGGGCTAGCAGGGAAAGAGGAACATACTTACAAATATGGTGGTTGTATCCAGGATTTAGATGGTTTGGGGAGGAAATTATTAAAGAAATTAATCTTATAGCAAAACACCAGCTTTCTAAAGATCCCCTGACCTGCTTACTTAATGCTCCAGTAGAGGATCTACATTTTAAACAGAAAGACAAATCAATTAATTTTTATTGTTAGTATTTAGACTTTGTATTGCATACTATTTCAAAAATGTAACCCCTCTGACTATGGAATTGTGGTATGGTAAAAAATAAATTGTCTTGTAATGGAAAAACTTTCACACCAAGAATGTACACAAGAGAAGTGACAAAAAGAGGATAGGTACTTAGAAATTTGGTCACTCTTTTTAGTGTACACAGAAGAGGAAGGCTCCCAGCAAGCAGGCCAGAATCTTAAGACGGGTTCTTTGAATATTAATCTGATCCTGAATAAGTAATATACAATGTAGTATGTTAATGTTTTATTGTAACTTTGCCTTACTAAAAGTTTTTTTTAAATCATCTATTACTTACATGCAGTAAATACTATACACTTTCACCTATTTACATGGCTAGATCTGTCCATTTTAAATTGCATTCTGCTTCTACTATTATTTCAATGTTTACTACATGACCCTGTGCCTGAATAAATTTATACAAAAAGTGCCCATAATTTGAACGATGTAATTCTCCCTCTTGATAATGTACATACAGCAAAAGATTTGTGCAATGTACATTTTAATTACTCTGTTTTTGGGGGGTTTGTGAGGTTTGTGGGTGTTATTTCATGCTGAATTGCTGAGCTGTTACTAACTTATTATTTATACTAGCTTTGATGAAGTCATTTGCCTATCATTGCTTTTTGAAATCTATCACAACAGACTCGCCTCCCTGAACCTCTCAGTGAAGTGCTGGCAACTCTAGTTCACTTATCAAAGGCAGTGGGCATGATTCTTTTAGTTCTTTGATGCTTTTCCCATTACCTTCATTTCTCAGTCAGGGCAGCCCCCCAAAACACCAAACATTTGTACGCACACGCACACACAGAATCTGGCAGGAAGATGTGAGGATCTGCAGCCGAGGATAACAGCAGTTATTACTGAAGAAATAGCCAGGGGCATCACATCATTGATAACACAAGGAGCTAATTACCATGCAAAGCACAGAGTGCTGTAAGAAACGAGGCTGAATAAAGACTACACTGAATTCTTGGGACATGGGATGTAATTGCAAGAAAGCTACATCTGTACATATTTTATTTTATACATTCCTTTTTTTTCCCTTAC